TAGACCACAACGAATCATTATTAGAACAATATACAGAGTTCATGAACAATATTGTGAGTAAAAACTATTGTGAAAAAGTGCCTTTGTATGATGTGAACAGAAACGATGGCAGGGTGTGGTTCATTCCCCATCATCCAGTCGTACACCCACGAAAACAACGTGTTAGAGTAGTTTTCAACTGCCCTCTTATTTACAATAACGGTGAAAAGGATTATTCATTAAAAAAACTACTGTTATGTGGACCTCACAATCTAAATTTATTATTACGTGTATTACTTAGATGGCGAAAGGACAATATAGCCATTCTCGCTGATATCGAGTCAATGTTTTATCAGGTGCGTGTCAACAAAGAAGACTGCGATATGCTAAGATTCTTATGGTGGCCAGATGGCAACTTGAATAAACCGCTCACAGAATATTGCATGTTGGTTCATTTGTTCGGTGCGGTTAGTTCGCCCAGCTGCTCTAATTATGCGCTGAGACGTGTTGCTACAGACTTTAAAGATTATTATAGACCAGAAGTTTTACAGTGTATCGAAAATGACTTCTACGTGGATGATTTCCTCAAATCCATGTCATCTAAGAAAGAGGGAATTCAACTTATCCAAGAACTGTGTGAACTTTTATCTAAAGCAGGTTTCAACCTAACAAAGTTTATGAGTAATAGTAAAGAACTCTTAAAAGCTGTTCCCAATGATAAAAGAGAAGAATCTATTCGTAATTTGGACTTCGACATAGACAGACTTCCTGCTAAACGTGCCCTTGGTGTGGAATGGTCCGTTGAAGATGACACTTTGGAATTTAAAGTGGACATATCTAACATTAAAGTGAACGCGACAAAAAGAAATATTTTGTCAATAATGAGTTCGATCTATGACCCTCTCGGTATTGCAGCGCCCTTTATACTAAAAGCTAAAGTAGTATTACAGGAACTTTGCAAACAAATGGTGACATGGGACGAAAATGTGTCGGATGAATGTAAACGTGAATGGGACAAATGGATATTAGATTTACAGAATCTGAAGAATGTCAAAATCAAACGTTGCTATAAGCCTTCAGATTTTGGAACTATTATTAATACGCAGATGCATCACTTTGCAGATGCTAGCCAATACGGATATGGATCAGCTAGCTATATTCGACATGAAAATGATGAAGGTGCTGTGAATGTGTCTTTTTTGATATGCAGGTCACGTGTGGCTCCTATTAAGCCAATGACAATTGTGAAACTTGAACTAGCAGCTGCTACAACAGTAGTCCGAATGAACACTCTGTTAGTCCGAGAATTATCCCTGTCTGTTGACGAAATCTTCTTTTGGACAGACAGTCAAACTGTTATTAAATATATACGAAACAACACAACAAGACATCAAGTTTACGTTGCAAATCGTCTTGCTGTTATCCAAGATGGTTCATCAGAACAACAATGGAGTTATGTTCCAACAGCCGTCAATCCAGCAGATCATGCCTCCAGAGGACTTTGTGTAAATGATCTTATTACAGAAAATTGGTTAAGAGCTCCAGATTTCTTATATCAATCAAAAGGTGAGTGGCCTAAAACACCAGAATTTAGTGAGTCGCATTCTAAAACAGTAGATGTCAATTTTGCTGAAATTAGTGAAGAGTTTAAAAGTGCAATGGATAAATTACTGACATATTATTCTGATTGGAAACGTCTCAAAAGAGGTATTGCTTGGTTTATAAGATTACAAAAAATTCTTAAGGAGAAATCAAAAGATAAGACAATTAGTGATGATCTTAAAAGTAAAATATTGACCAGTGATGAGGTAGCTAGTGCCGAAATTTCTATTTTAAGATATGTGCAAAAATCTGAATTTCCTGATGAGTACAATGCTTGTGTTAATCAATCTAATGTGAAATTAAAAAGTGTAATGTCAAATTTGGATCCTGTTCTAAGGAATGATCTTATTTGTGTCGGTGGTCGCTTAAGGCATGCTAACATCCCGGAAGATGCTATGCATCAAATTATTTTGCCGAAAGATGCCCATGTATCTAGTGCGTGATTGTCACCGAAAGGTTGGTCATCAAGGCCGCAACCACACTCTTTCGGAAGTGCGTCAAAAGTATTGGATTATTAAATCGGGTGTGTTAATTAAAGAAGTGATCAATAAATGTGTATCGTGCCGAAAGATTAATTCGCATGTCGGACAACAAAAGATGGCGGACTTGCCTAAATCTAGAGTTGTGTCCGATCAGAGTGCTTTCTCTATCGTTGGAATAGATTATTTTGGAAATTTTGAAGTGAAAATAGGTCGATCAATGAAGAAAAGATATGGAGTTATCTTCACGTGCAATTCACATTGAAATGGCCGATTCGTTAGATACCATCTCGTGTGTGAGTGCCATTAGACGGTTTATAGCCCGTCGCGGAGTGCCAAAGGAGTTTTACTCCGATAATGGAACAAACCTTGTGAGTGCGAGCAAGGAATTACAATCTGGAATTAAGGAATTGGATCAGTCGTTATTCAATCAACTTGCTGTGAATTACAATTTCAAGTGGAACTTTAACCCTCCTACTGCGTCTCACCATGGTGGAGTATGGGAGAGGCAAATTCGCACCATCCGTAAAGTGCTTCAATCTATTCTTAATGAACAATTTGTGAAAACATGTGAATCCCAAGAAGAACTACATACTTTGTTATGTGAAGTAGAGACAATAATAAATAGTCGCCCTCTTACTCGTGTATCAGAGGATCCCAATGATTTGAATGTTATAACCCCCAATTCATTGCTTTTATTGAATCCCCTACCCAGTTATCCCCCAGGAACATTTTGTGATAAGGACATCTACAGCAAACGTAGGTGGCGCCAAATACAATATTTAGCTCAATTGTTTTGGAAGCGATGGGTGAAGGAATATCTCCCAACTTTGCAGTTAAGACAAAAATGGCTTAGACCTCATCGCAATATTCAAATAGGTGACATTGTGTTAGTAGTAGACGACAGTGGCCCTCGCTGTTCATGGCCTATGGGTCGTGTAGAAGTTTACCCCAATAGAAATGGACTTGTGCGAAGTGTCAAATTGCGCACACAAACTGTGTCTTTAGTCAGACCCATAAGCAAACTATGCCTGATACTTGAACTTGAAGAGTAAATACATGATGTAATGTGAACATTTGAATTTTAATTCAAATTTTTGATTTCCGAATCTCTTTAGAACAGTGTGTGACTAAACTTTGTGAATTTTTTGAAAATCTTTATGTGATCCGTCATATATTACCCCTTCAATGATTTTGTGAACTATTGTTTGAATTTCTTTTAAGAACCTTAACTTGTGAAAACGTGAAATATTTGTTTTAAGTTTAAGAATTATTTTTTACTTAACATAATGTATGTTATCATTACATGTACTTTAATTTTCTTTGAATTAGATTGTGTATTGTTTCAAGAGCTATGATGTGCATAGTATTATTATTATTAGTTGTCAATGTTGCTTATCAGTTAGGAGTCTAATCTTTTAGTTAATATTTTGAATATGATGTTGATAATTTTGTATATTATTATTGTAATACTAAGATCGGGGCCGGAATGTAGAGTTCAAAATGCAACTAAGGTCATTTTAGCAGGCGAATTATTTAGGCTGTGCTCTTTGAGTGTCTTGATAATCGAGCCGTGTTCTCTTAGTGTCTTATTAATAGAGTCTACCGGAAATGGACAAGCGCACGGGGTACATTATTAGTGAACGCCTGGTTGCAAGGTGTGGACTGGAAATAATTTTTCACCGTCGTTCATACGTCGTGGTCTTAAATTGTGATAGATATGAATGTATATTTTGTGAACTTTGTGAATTTGTGAACTCTCTATTATGTACCATTAATCTGAGAATATAGAACAGTATATATTTTATCTATGTGTTGTGAATGACGCGTTCAAAACCTCTCCACGCTCCCCCAACCTACACAAGGGAAATAACTCTATTCAAATATTCAAGGGGAAGGGGAAATAACTCTATTTAACACATGATTTTGGGGGCGTGTGCGCATTATTTATTAATTACTTCAAAATGTCAATAAATAGATTTGGAGCATAAAACAGACCATTTATTTTGTATGGCCTAAGCAGATAGTTTTAGTTATGCGCACACACAAGCATTTGTTCATTCGTAGAAAAAATTATCAAACTTGTTTGATTTTCAACTTTTTACCCTAAATGACCAAAATCTTACATAAATTTACCCACACACGGAAGCTCTCGCCTTCAGGAGAAGTGCACCAATGATTTCTAACTGAGCTGATGGCTCGTGTGTGTGCCGACCTTTAGGCTATACATACCTTAGATTGATACTGTGTTAAAATATCTTGAAGATGTCTCATACAAACAGCTATCTGTAACAATCGGATATGTGATGCGTTTGGATGAAAGAACAAGTGTGTGTTGGCTATACACAAAACATGGCCTGGCTTTTCAACACATTCAAATACTCCCATCTGTAGAATGTTGGTTCTATCTTCAAAAAATGTTTTTAATGCTGGCAACTCTGAGACTTTCTGCCAGATATCAGAATAGATGGAACCAGTTTTTATCTCTGGTGTTATATCTATATCATGCTGTTCTAGTAACCTGAAATATAAAGATAGCTTGCGAGGCAAGGTAACATACGCCCACTGGCAACTGTCAGAAATAATAAAACAGTCTTTAGTGACTAAAGTACTAATTTTCTCATATTGAAGAAATTATTCATGCTGAATAATTCCACAAAATTTTTAAAATCAATATCAATAACCCAAATACAACAAACAATTAAATCACACAGCTCTAATCAAGTGCAAAAATATCTCAAGTTAGAACTTGTCCGAGATCTTATCAATTCCAATGATCACACCAAGTTTCATCAAAATCGGTCGAAAATTGTAGCTTCTTTTGTGCTCACAAACAAATTTTGACGCATATTTACAAAGTCAAGGGCAATAACTCAAAAACAGTTCATCGAAAATGCGTCAAGTTAGAACTTGTCCGAGATCTTATCAATTCCAATGATCACACTAAGTTTCATCAGAATCGGTTGAAAACTGTAGCTTCAATCCTGCTCACAAACTATTTTTAACAAATTTCAACCTGTTTTAACAAAGTCAAGGGCAATAACTCAAAAACAGTTCATCGAAAATGTGTCAAGTTAGAACTTGTCCGAGATCTTATCAATTCCAATGATCACAC